TCTCACAGCTTCTTTCTTGGGAAATTGATTACTGAGATCCCACATAAGTCCTCTTAGTTAAATCTCTGTCATGCTAAAACATGCAAGTCTATTCCCTCTTGAAGGTGAAGGGATCATTCCTAACCCCTACGTGGGGTTTACACGTGGAATATGACTACTTTCTGGATCAAGAAGTGGGCAGGATGCTTGCAACCAGTCAGGAATATGCCCATCCAGTACGTGAAGCACAGTGCACACTGAGGTTCGGTGAGTCACGTGTGATCTGGATGTGGCCAGCAGACCGAGGCTTATGCTTGTAATACCAGAGAGCAAAGGTCAACGTTTGATTATGTGACATCAAATGCAACCATACGTGCTGTACAGCTGCAACACAAAAGTCCATTTAAGGAACAAAATGCCAGACAGTCCTGAGACAGCTAATAGACAATAAAAAAGAAATTACAACAATTGCAAATGGTACTAGAAAGCAGAGCTCCAGTTTGGAAAAGATGGACTTGCACAAGCAAATTCTTGATCCCCTTTTAAGCTGTGACGTAAACTAACAGCTCAGGTGTTTTTGTGTTTGGTAGGGGTTTTCATTTATTTGTTTTTAATTAATAAGTACAAGAAAAGTCCTTGTTAAACATGTTAACAAGGTAAAGAAGCAAATGCAAACCTTGATTGTTCCATAAATACCTGCAAAAAAAAAAAAAAAAAAAAAAGAAAAGATTGCTGTAAAATGAAGCACAAAACAAGAAATAGAAGAGCACGGGTGACATCAGGACAACTGAGGCTGTTGCTAAAGGATGTGTAACAAAAGACATTAGTGATTCAATAGAACTCACCACAGTAACCGGGCTGTAAATTTGCACGGGTACAGCACTTCTGCTTAAACAAGGAGAAACATGGACAGAAAACCAAAAACAATAGCTGAGGTTCTAAAGGCATGATAAGCAGGCTGGTCTCAAAAACTTGCCTTTCAGTAACTACTTGCACTTAACTAACCCCATCACATCATAATGAGAGAAAAAGAATGAAAAAATTAAATTCAAATGAAAGCTAGGGAAAGCCACATGGAAAATTCTGTGTTAAAATGCTCAAGGCTTGTAATGAATCCCTTTGATTACAGAAGTTCAGCAAAGCTTGGGACTACAAAGTGTCCTGGTGAAACAAAATAAAATGTGTGTTTTCCTTTTAGAAAATAATAATAGTAAAATGAAATAATGTATAGTAAATGTTAAGCTGTAAAAAGTCTCAACAACCTGAATCTGAATGATCAGAAAAGAGAGGAAAATATTCATGTCACTTGTTCAGAAGCATGGCAGTGCTTAATCAGATGGCTGGGACAAACATTAACAGCTCTCCATGGCCAGCTGGGCAGGATTGCTGTTCTGCTGTGTATCTGATCGTAGCTGGTGCCCTCTGTGCAAGCTCCCACACTCCTATTTTTGGTGTAGAAAGCCAACTTGCTACACACATAACTTTTCCAGGGCAGGCAAAGTGCAAATAAGTGTAATGTCAAAAACCAGGAAGATACCAGAGCAGCATCCCAAAGAAGGTATTTGATGGTTTCCCCACCAAGAACCAGACCCTGTGATATCTGCTGAGAAGCGTACATCACACAGCAGCTGCTCACTGCTCCTGTGGGCTGCTTGCAGGCAAGCAACACATTTTGTCACATTTCATTTAAGATGGCAGCACATCAGCTGGTACTGCTGGTGCAACCTGAAGGACCTCTGCTTGTCTGTGTGCTCACCAAAACTTGTAGGAAAAGACCGTGGTTAAAGCTGACCCAGAATTAATCCTGAGGATCCTGAGAAAAAGCTGAGCGTATCCACCACAAGCTCAAAATAACCCTTCTGTGATGCAAGTTCCCATTGAACTGTTCCCCAGATTTTCTAATTATTTCTTCCCCTATTTCATTGGGAAATTTACAGTCTAATCATATCTAAGGACTCTGTTTATGTTGCAATGTTTTTTTTATCATCTTCTTAAATGAAGAATACTTATATCAGTTCCCACTTATTTAACAAGTTAATGTTTTTCAATAATTACTTACTAACAAGCTCAAGCAGAGTTTGTTTAACCAAAGAGAAGAAAATCTTACTTAAAATCTAGATGCCTGTGAAATGGTACATATATAACGGGAAGTAGGGTGACAGTTAAACATCATTGCTTCTCAGATCAAAGCTCTGAAAAATCTCAAATCACAAATCTTAAAATAAAATAATCCTTTGATATCTTTGAACTGAAAGACAGTGTTTTCAGTTGATTATTTCTTCTATCAGACTCATAAAAGTAAAAGAAAATCTGGACCCTTAAATAAATGGATTTGGATCAAAATCTTGGACCCCTTTAAATGTGATTAAAATCTGAGCTTCAAGACATTTAAGATGTCTTGAATGCATTAAAGATTTGAGGAAAAAAAAGTCCTTATCTATACAGCTTTTAGGGTTTGTAATGACCTCTAGCATTTTCCACTGAGTTGTAAGCCTGGTTTGTGAATTGTCTTTGGATGTTATTTCAGTTCCCTAGATAAAATAGGCTTACTATCTTAGTAAAGAGCAAGCTTTTGTAATGTAATGCACAGTTTCTGTAATTTAGCAACAAGCCAAAATGTGTGTTTCTGTTCTGGAATCTGGAGTGTTATACTGTAGACATAACGCTGAAATTATCTTTGTAAGTAAATGGCATATAAGAACAAGAAGCAGGTAGGCCTTACTGATAAGTTATTTGCCATAGCTTATTGGTATAGTATAGCTCATTAAAACCAATGAATCTGCATTTTTCCAAGGAAACACAATGTATGTTGTCAAATGAGAAGCAGAGTTATTGAAGTGTCATTTTTATCATACACATACAACACCAGTTTATTCTTGTCTTTGCATAAAGTGGGGAATAGTGGCAAAGGGGGGAATAGTGGCGAAGGGGAGCTGGGACTAAAAAACCACAACTGCTGTTCCATAAACAAGAAGTGATTTCACTTTAATTTTTTCTGGATGCGAATAGTAAAAGGGTGGGATTCATTTTGCAAAATACCAATCAGATTACTTCAGATCGGCTTTAATTCCAAATTCTATCTGAGAGTAGGACAGATAAAGCTTGTCTGTGGAAAAATGTGCTCTTCACTCATTCTACTCTTTTTAGAGCTGTGATCCCATTGCAGCCCAAACACACAGACTAATTATCCCAGATGTTAAGCCTGAACTTTCATCATAAAATGTGTCACTCTGCTTTCCACCAAGGAAAAAGTGTTACTGTTTTTTCTTATTGTTCATCAGCAGGTGACTAAATACAAGTCTCTCTGATACATGATACAAAAGACTCCTGGGATCTTGAACTTGCTTTTGGTTTGTGCTTCAGCAATTACCTACACTAGTGTTTCTGCAAGTAGCAATTCTGAACAGCAACATAGACTGGAAAGTTGATTTTTATTTTAACACTTTCAAAATGTTACTTTCCACTCAAAAGCATGGAAAAAAAATACTATTTCTACTGATTTCAGACATTGGATAATATGTCCTTTCATGCCTTTAGCAAGATGATGGCCAGCAGCGAATTCACTAATGCTGATCACACAAATCCCCAGCAGCTGTGAAGAGCCAATTAACCCTTCCATTAAGTGTTTCTAGCAGCCTGGCTATTGATAACACACCTTGGGACTACAGGGACTGAAAGGCAATCAAGTGAGTCCCTAATTAGCTTGTTTTCTTTACTTAAGAAAGAACATGCAACAGTACCCAGCCGGCTACATTTGCAGTATTAGCTGTGAACAAATTCAGGAGGGCATCTTGTGAAGCACAAGCTTGTGTTGTGACCCAAGTAGTAATTGAGCACTATAAATAAAGCTATTACTACACTTCTGATAGATAAAGAAGTGGAAGCTAGTCACTTGACAGCTGTGAATTCTTGCCCAACTGGCAATGCAAACACTTTTTTAAGAGGGCTGTTCATTTTAGATTAACCTTTATTTAGAGTCACAGTGCCATCTAGAGGCCACACAGAAATTTTGTCCAGCTATTAGATCAGTTTTGAGAGGAACAGAGGGCCTTTGTCGTTCTTAGGTTCAGTACATTACTCCCTGAGAATACTGCTTGTCACTAAAGCAGTGACTTTCTTTGCTGCTGTTTCAGTTTGTATTGCTTCCCTTATTTCTTTTTGAGACCTGATGGTACATATAATGCAAAGAAGACTAGGGACTGGAGGGGAAGCAGGCTTAAGCAAAACTAACCTCACAATCAAGCTCAGCCCCTGAAGTAATTGCAGCCTGAACTGCAGCTGTTAAAAACTTCAGCCCAGGTTGCAGAAGGCACCAAGCACTTGTAGGATCATCCCTGTGAACTTCTAAGTTAATTGTGGTAGCATATGTTTTCCCCTGCTTTGTTTATGGAAAGGAGGGGCAGGTTAAGGCACAGATAGGAACTGTTTTGTTTTTCTAGCCTTCCTGGTACTAGTTATGTTGGGAATTGTGTCTGCTTGGTGTTGGTCAATGTGCCACTTTCAAGCTGAGCAAGTGTCTGGAGAGCGTTACTTCTGCCCCACTCTATAACCTGCAGAGAACAAATGTTTGGTAAAAGGCACTTACCAGAAGGATCGAGGTAAACAATCTGGGATGAGAAATGTTAAGAATTAATACATATTAATTTTTTAATTAAACACGGGAGATTTAATTAACATCCAAGAAGCCAGTCTGTATTTTCCTGAGACTTGAAGCGTAAATTGAGAACTGCCCTTGTAAACAGCCACCTGCAGCTGTGTTGGAAAGCTTGGGATTGAAGTGGCCTCAGGGTGAAGAATCACCATCAGGAGCTGGGCAACAGGTCCCCATGTATTTTCCACAGCTCCAGTTTGTTAAATCCAGTCAGACACACACCCACACAAACACCCACACCCACACACAAAAAAAAGGGGGGGGGGGGGGGGGAGGATTATGTGTATATTCTCTCTGTGGAAGAAGTTACAATCATTCACTTAATCCTTTTTGGGGTTAAACAGGTGAGTCAGGACACACAGGTGCTGCCATTTGTGCTTGCACTTCACATCCTTGGTGATTTGAAGGAGAAGGAAGAGGAAAATTTGGAGGCTTGGGGTGTTGTAAAAATTATTTAAGGAAGACCAGCAATTCCACTGGACTTGCAGTCCTGCTTCCTCAGCCCTTCTTAGTCCGAGTAAAACTGTTTAAAAACTGAGATGGTGCCTCCCTGGGCCCCATCCCACTTCCTTAATACTAGGTGCTTGAAGATGCATGTCTTGTTTGTATACCACGCAAGTTTAAGCTCTACTTTCTCTTTAATAGAGTGTAAACGGAAACTGTGTATCTCAGTAATAATAATAAATACTGTGTGGGTTGCAGAAGAGTCACTGGCAGGCAGGTCTATGCTGGACCCTTGAGTCTTCCAAAGGTATGTCTCTACATGTTGAAGAAAATGCTTCTCCCCTGACACAGGGAGACCATGCTTTTTATTGCTCCTGCAATGAGAGTATGAGGGCTTTTAGCTAGTACATTCTGATCTCACTGTGTTTTTGTCTAGTGAATGGGTTTTGTCTACTGGAGATGAAGGAGGAATGCTACACTGAGCTTAATGACTACTACAACCAGGAGTACTGTTCTGCAGGAAGAGCAACTGTGCATATTTTTATCAAGGGTTTTCAGGTGATCTTCACATTAAGTAAGTCCTGACAGTTTCCTGAGACAACTGATAGAGTGTCTGTGTTGGGGTCATGTAGAATTTGGAGGCCAAAGCAAGTCCTTATTAAAGGACACACCACTACTTTTTGCTCGTGCAGTTGCTGTGCAACCATTGGAATACAGCTCCAATGTACTCCTCCTGCACCTTCATAGCGATGTCTCTTAAAAAAAATATCAGGGTAGATCCATGCTGAGGTGGGTATGCAAAATCCTTCCTTATTGTTTTCTGTTTCTGTTCCTTGACAACTAAAAATTATATTTTTTCTGCCTTAAATAAAAAGGAATGGGTCCATTAAAATAAGGTATATATGAAAATTTGGGGGCTGACCTAAGCATCCTGCTGTAGTCCTCTGTCCAGGGGTAGCATCAAAACAAAAAAGGTGCCACACTCCTACCAGCCTCACTGTTTTCTATCATGAGGAAAAAGAGAGAGGTCTCCCCAGGATCCGTAGCCTTCACTTTCTTTTCACTTAGCTAAGTGGAACATGAAAAAAGGGAAAAAATGGCAGCACGTCCTAAACCATCAAAAATATTTAGGCAAGAGAGCCATTAGGTAGTCTCTTGAGCTTGGTCTCAATTGCAGATGTCATTCCTTCATACCCCTTCATAGGATTAGGCTCAGAATGGCAGAAAGCTCACCCTCTGTCTTCCTCCAGATAGATGGATGTGTATTGTTTTATTGCAATAGAGTAATGCAGGCAGGAGATCTTTTTGTTTCGTTGTTTTCTGTCAGTTACCTTGCTGGTTCCTTCTTAGTTTCTGTACATAATTTAGTCATAGTTTAAAACAAAGAACTGGAGCAATTCTGAAACGTTATCCAGAAATCTATTTTCATTCCTGAAAAATGAAAACATTTTGGCTGTGACAGGATTTTTTTATTATTTTTTTTTTTAAGTTTTTAATGTTTGAGTACCTTTCTAAAGCCACTCAAACAGCAGAAGTCTACCTGCTGGTTGCCCAATATTAAATGTAACCATAGCATATTTGTCTGTAACAAGCCAAGTGAGCTGTTATTTTATGAGAGACCTTGAGGAAGTCAACAGAGCTCCTTTAAGTTTGACAGGGCAATTTGTTGAATCGCTTCAATGTGACAAATCAGCATGACAGGCCTTCCTTATTTTTTGGCAGTCAGGAAATAACTCTGAGCTAACACAAAATGCCCAGCATGTAGTAAAGAGCTAGAGGCTGTGGAGCAGAGGGGTCTAATTGGGCTCCCCCAGAGGGCACACAGCAAACCAGGTCTGTTTGATAGCTTGCTGAAAGCCATACTAAAAATTGATATCTCCTTTGTCTTCAAATTTGCAAGGAAGCCCATTGGTAAAAGCTTATTTTTTTTTTCTGTAAATCCAGCTCTCTTCCTGTAATTTTTTGGAGCCGTGTTCAGGGCTTTCACCCTGGTGCTGGTGATGGGCTGGGACCAGGCAGGGCTGTGATCCAGCAGTAGCCAGAGCTCCTGCTGGTCCATGACTGAAAGCAGCTCCCAGGGACAGATTCATTTGTTGTTGTTGTTGTTTTGCATATACTTTAAGTGTTATCTTATGACAAGTTTTTTCTTCACGGGTGAGAAAATCAGTTCTTGTGAAAGCGTTGCTCATTGATGGGAAGTACAGCATGATTGTTCTTTTCCTACCCTTTTTGCTTCTGCATGGCCTTTGCTTGCTTGTTTGTTTGTTTGCCTCATTCTTTCTGCTTTGATGGAATCATCCTTACCTCAAGCCGTGAGCCTTTTTCTTTCCGGCATACTTTGTTCTCTCCCTCTCCTTTTGAGGCGGGGGAGTAAGAGAGTGGTTGCGGTGGACCTTGGCTGCCCATCAGGGCAAAACCACCAAAAGATGCAAAAAGTCAGAGAATCGTTTCACACAGCTTGCATGCTGTGAGATGGAGCATTTGGGTTTGAATATGAATTTGATAGCAGCAACAGCAGCAGCAGGAGGCTTTATCTGCCAAAGGGAGTCAAAATGATCCAGAAGTGAGAACTCTATGAGCAAGGGGGAATGAGAAAAAATGTTTCTGCCTGCTTCAGTGATTCAAATGCAGTTCACACTGCTCTAATGAATTACTTGTTGTATGATCAATGCTTGCACATAGGTCTTTTTTTAAAGAGAAGCTTAAATGGTCTTTCTGTGTTATTTCCCTTCATATCGTTCTCCAAGACCTTTTACTCTGTTTTTGAGGAAGATTTGGGTTCTGTTTCACTCACCCACCCTTTTTTCCTTGTTGCCTTCCCTTCTTTTTTTCTGGCAGTGTGCCTCCACCTGTGGTTTACCTCATCTGCTGACCTGTTATAGGATTGTAAATTACCTTTGAGTACTGTTATGTTCTTCCCATGTTAGACTCCACCATTTTAAGGACTATTCCCATGATCTCACTTATGATTCCTATTACCTTCTCAGTTTGTGCTCCATTTTTTTTTCTATCACATCTACCCTGCTGTTTGCTCTGTTAAAACTATTCTTGCTTATAAGAGCCCAGGAGCAAAAATCTGCTGAACCCTTTCAGTGCCCTAAAGCACAATTCTGAAGGATTCTTTTCCTTCGGTTGCAGTGACTCCGCGTCACCCAGATTTCTTTTTGCTCCTCAAGAGTCTTCTGTAGCATTCTCCTTCAGGAGTTCCTTTTCTCTCTCTTTTTCAACTTTTTTTTCTTTCCTGAGGAATCCTAGCAGATTCTGACTGAAATCTTTCTCCAGCTTCCTTTTGCTGCAGTTAAAACTGTGTCTACAAGTTGTTAACAAGTTGCTGACGGATACTTATTGTTTAAATCCTTTTTTCGAAAGTCAAGCATCTGACACATTCTTTGGATGGAATCTCCAGCTACCAGTCCATCCTTCCTTTCCTTCCTTACAACCAACCCTCATAATTTTTCTCATGTAAAGCAATAAAATGGTCAGAAAGCTGCATGTAACCTTCAGTGGGGCATCTATAAGCTTCAGTATTCAGTCGTTATCCTAAATTTTGCTTATTCTGTCTACCAACCCCAGGACATTTCCTTTACTACTCATCTTTACAGATTACGTTCTTATTCATAGCCATCACCTGTCCATAATTTTTACCTTGCTGTACAATAATAATAATAAATCACTTTGGTACAAAAAAAAAAAAAGTATTTCTTACACTTTATAGATAACTGTTGGTGACCAGTGTTGAAGGTGAGGTATATAGATGGCTTTTGGTTCAACCTAGATGAGCAGTTTTCATGCTTTCTTTGCTTTTGATGAGTGCAATATTGTTCTTCTGTTATCCTCCCCAAATTTAGATTTAAACAGTCCTCCAAGCCTACTCTTTTGACACCATTTTCTGTCTGTGACTGTTGTTCTCACTCGAGTGAGGTAAACCAGCTGACACACTCAAGCAAAACATCTGTTTGGAGATTCATAGCTAACTGCCTTGAGATGTGAACTTGTCTTGCAAGCTTTTGGGATACAGACCATCGTTTTGTCCTGTGCATGCCCTTCACTGTATGCAGTGAGAGCTTGCTTTATAGATCACCTCTTTGTAGTGCCGCCCAGTAATGGAATAGGAAGATGTGAAGCATGTTTGGTAGCTGAGAAATAACCAAAGAACTTTGGCATGAAAATAGTTCCGAAAATTTAGGAAAAACCCTCTGGAATTTGCACATTGTCACCTAGTTTGTTTTTCTTTGAACAATGTTTTGCCAAATTACTATGAGGAAAAGTGTTGTTTTCAAGTTTATGCAAAGATGAGAAACTAAGAGCATGAGGACAAGCCATTCTTCCAACGTGGCAAGCTATGGTCATCAGGTGTGCAGTGAACTGGACAGGAGGGTGGAAACATGTTTGCTAGGAGAATGTAAGAGAGAAGGGAGGAGGATTTTTTTGTTCGGTTGGTTGAGGTGAAAAAAAAAGTCACTGTTGATATTACTCTAGATGTGAAGGGCAGATGACCACTACTAGTCAGATTCTCATTGTTAAAGACAAAAGCTACAAAAGAGTTTTATACAGTGAAGTTATATTGGATGTACTCTGCAGCAGAAGTATAGAGATGTGATTAAACGTAAGTGGGTTTTGTTATCTCTCACAGTTTTATTTACACATTTCTTAAGAGGAAAGCAGTTAAGTGGAGACATTGTGATAAGAACTAAGTTCTTATTGCATTTCATGAATTGTTTTATGCAAGGTTTGGAACCAATTATACCTAAGGAGCTGATTTTTCTAGGTGCTTAACAATTAACATGAATAAGGGCTGGCAAGCTGGAGGCACAAGCTTTTGTGAAAATGAATCTGGAGATGCTGCCTCTTAGGTCTTGAAGGCTCCATAACCATAGTAGTGTACATTTTATGAAAATCTGTACCATTTAGAATGGATTTAACAAGCTTAAAGAGAATCCTTTTCTTTGTGGAAATGGTGATTTCATTTCAAATAATTTCACTAAATTGTAAGAGGAATTTTGTTGGAATCTAATACTTGGACTGTGTTTCAGGTCAGGCCGAATTGTTTCTCTGCATCTGTTCAGCAACTGAAATGCTCTGGTGCAAGTAGGAGTCTATAGCCCACAAAAACCCTCTGGCTGGCTGAAGTCTTTCAGAAGGCATCATGGTCTCTTGGAGAGATCACTTCATGTCACCAACTTCCTCAATTTAAAAATATTGAAGACGCTTATGTAATGAAAAAGCTCATCTCTCATTTTTTTCTGACATTTTCTGCAAGAAATATGTTAGCTGAAATACAAAAATCAGAAATAGCGTAGCTTCAGGGAATAATTGAATATGGGTTTCTGACAACCCTGGTGACAGGGTTGCCACTGAAAAGGAATAATTTTTTTTGTATTCTATCATGCTACTGAATTATAAGCAAACCCCCTGCTTACACATATATATGTGTTTTATAGATGTACAGTGTTTTAATTATTGGGTTCTATGACTGTTTAATTCTAATTTAGCACAGAGAAGTTTGGAATTTACTTGTATTTTGAAAAATAGTCAATCTGCTAAGAGGATTATAAATCAGGCTTTTCCTCCTAG